TTTTTGTTGACCTTTGTCCATGGAAGGTCCCTGCAAAATTTCATTGAAATTGGTTCAGGGGTTTTGGAGAAGAAGATTTTTGAAATTTTAGTCAATTTGGCCCTTTTTGGCCCCGCCCCTCAGGCCCCTGGGGGCTTAGGACTAAACCGGCAACTCTTTTTGTTGACCTTTGTCCATGGAAGGTCCCTGCAAAATTTCATTGAAATTGGTTCAGGGGTTTTGGAGAAGAAGTCGAAAATGTAAATTGTTTACGAATGCACGACGGACGACGGACGACGACGGACAAAAGGCGATCGCAATAGGTCACTTGAGACTTTGTCTCAGGTGACCTAATAAAAGTTAATCTAATTTCATGTTCTCAGAGTTTGTATAATGATTACGAAGATTTGCCAAATTGGCTATTACCAGGTATATGTCAATGATTTCCCCTAATTTCATCATAAGGTCCGTTTCCCAAAACCCTCTGATCAAATCCCGGTTAACCCTTCCCTGTGGTCCTGTATTCGGTTAAGGTCACATGTATGTACTCCCATATTTTATGTTTAGTCCAGAGGAGAGGGTATTGGATATGCCTTCCCTCGTCCTCTAGTACATACTGGACTGCAGGACCCTGTGTATTCCCTTACCCACAGTCCAAATCCTGGCCCGGTTGCTCAAACTTTGGTTTACTTTAACCAGTGGTTAGTGAAAAAATAAAATTTGCATTCAAAGAAAAATTAATCCACACAACATATCAGACTAATCCTTCTCAACAATTCTATATCAGATATTCTTGTATTCAGATAACACTCATGATGACCAACGTTTGAGCAACTTAGGCCTTTGCCCAGTATATACTGGACAATAGTTCTAGCGTTGCTTACCCTCTAGTACACACAGGAGGACAACAAGGATCATGTGTAGACATGGATGTGTGGACAGAAACCGCAGTAACAGCAGTAACCGCAGTAACCGCAGTAACAGCAGTAACAGCCTATATATCCATATCTGAGGAGCAGTCAGACCTTGGGGCGTGACCTGGATGGGTTTAGGACATTTTAAATCTTCAGTAGGTCTGGTAAGTGGCAATTAATACCCCCCCCCC